ATGATGGACAGATGATGGATGGATGGAGGGACAGATGATGGATAGATGGACAGATGATGGACAGATGATGGATGGATGTAGGGACAGATGATGGACAGATGATGGACAGATGATGGACAGATGATGGATATCTATGAGTTTGATGCAGTTTGATTAAATGTCTGTTGGACGTCTCTCTAGGTTTTATAACTTTTATTCTGTAAATCACTTCTTGTGACGTTGTTCGTCCGATGATTGAATGAAACTCTAGGAACAAGACGACAGGAGACGTGTTCTGGATCATGTCCGTGTTTTCACGCAGCAGCAGAGGAGCGTTAAACCTGCTCCGACCCCGCAGCATCTTCTAATGGGACAGACGCCGCTGTGTTCGATTTGTGTTCGTTCCGTTAACGTGATTTAAAATGAGCCGGTAAACGCTCCCTGACGTGATCACTGGTGTCACCCTGTAAGAATCTTGGCCCCTGTGCTCCCTCTCACTTCATCACCAGCGGGATTCAGACAAGACGAGGATTACATCGTCCGACCAGAGTGCGTCTGCGTAGGCGTCGTTGTGTGTATGAGGCGATGAGGAATCGTTCATAATGCTAAAAGGTTATTTGTCTTCACCTCGCTGAACTCAAAGAACAAGCAGCTTACACCGCCGCCTCCGATTGGTCAGCGGGCACGCATCGTCACAACAACAAGAAAGACCCGGGTTTGAACCTGCGTTTCCTCTCCGCCTCGGAAACAGACGCCGGCTCGGGGAGGGGGGGGGGGGTTAAAAAAAAACAAAGGTTGTTCAAGCTTCTGGGAAAAATCCAGGAAATCCAAAGAAAATCTCGTCACAGTTGAAATTTGAGGGATTTTATTTTAATGTAATGACTTTGAGTCGTATCACATGCTTCAACACATTTTCCAGTTCATGGTTCAGAGCTGTGTTTAGGAGAGAGAGGAGAAATAGAGTGGGAATACACACACACACACACACACACACACACACACACACACACACACACACACACACACACACACAGACACACACAGGCCGGCACAGTGTAAATGCAGAGGATGACATCATGTTGCAGCGTCTCATTAAAGGACGTCCTGTAAAAAAAAGAAAATCATCCACTACTTTTCTTTTTTCCATCCTCTCCTCTCCTCTCCTCTCCTCTCCTCTCCTCTCCTCTCCTCTCCTCTCCTCCCTCTGCTCTCACTTTCCTCTCCGTGCTCCCTCACTCCTCTTCTTCTTCTCCTCCCTCCCTCCCTCGTGTTTACGGCCCTGTACGTCCTGTTTACTTCGAGGCCAATGCGTCCCTCCCTCTCGTGGCTTCTGTTGTTCTGAGCGGCTGCAGATGTAAAACCACTTCATTGCGACGATTGTATTTAATTAAATCAAATAAACAGGAAGACGTGTTGCATCTGTTGAACCAGAGTTCTCCCAGTCAAACGACCTGAGGTTCATACGACTGTAACGGGGTTGTCCGTTCATCGAGTTCAGCTCGTCTCACACGGAAATCACAGTTGTGTAATTCTGGTACAACAGGAAAAGCACGTTGCCCAGACAGCTGCAACCTTTATCTCCTAAATAACAAAAGATCATCGTCTATTATCTTTATCGCTCACGGGTCACAGGGACACAAAGAGCATCAGCTTCACCTGAAATATAAAGAATATACACACTTTAGTTTGGACTTGTCTCAAGTAGAGTAATGTCCATAAGAAGAAGAGAGATTCTGAGTATCTTGACTTTCTACTGTCTATTAATATACACTTTCAATCATGCAGCCGTTCCTTCATGTAACTGAGTTAGAATTAGATTTTAATGCTGCCGCTCTACTCTGATCTCAATTATACTTAGCTAGCTTTGGTTCAATCAGCTTAGAATCTGATTCTGTTTAGTGAAATCAATGCAGCTGCAGAACGTGACCGAACGTTCGATTCCACCGCCCCAGGTACTTTCCACTGCTGCACCAACGCAGGCACACAACACACACGTCACGCCGCTCCGGCCCCGGCTTCAAACTGGAAACAAATCAAACCTGTGCATGAGCAGCACGACGCCACATCCTGACGTGATCCGGGCTGTTTTTTTAGATTTCTGCGTCCAGGCTGTAACGTGATCGGCTGATTTCCCGTCATAAATGGAGACGAGGAGGGCAGAGGGGTCCATTCTAATGACTTTAGAGAGAGAGAGATGGAAGAGGAGGAGAGGTAGAGAAACCACAGAAAGAGAGGGGAGGACCAACATGGTCTCAGTTTCATGGGGACGGTCAGAGACATAATTCCAATCTCATGCACATGGTTCAATGATTCTTACTGAGAGGAGGAGGAGTCACTGGTCGCTCACTAAACAAACACTCAGAACCAACATGAGTCGACTTATTTGCATTTAAGTTGAGTTGGATTTTTCATGTTATACGCAGATTTTTATCACAATGAGGGAAAAACAGAATAAAATTTGATTTATTTCAATTCAACCTGTCGTCCTCAGTGATGTTTTACAATCGACAAACTTCCTGTTCTCAGCTCAGCCACTAAAGAACTAAAAAACTAAAAAATCTTGAATCTTCTCAATTTCAAGATTTTGTGCATATTCATTTATAATATCTGTACAATTCTCAAATATTATAAAGAATCAGGAGCCTTTGGTGAACGCACCTCATTTATAAACCTTCTTTAATAATTAAAGAGACAAAGGAAAAGTAAAACTCTGGTACTGTTTGAATTAGAAAAGAAAAGCCGGCGGTTTTTCACTTGTTTTGAGACTCTCCATCAAAGTTCTCTACAAAATGAAACAAGGGATTGTTATTCATGCAACACTGACTGAAGAAGAAATGTCAGAACACGACATTAACTCAAAGATTGTTCTGTGAGCAGCAACAGGTTAAAAAGAAGCAAGCTGAGGTGTGCGTCACTGCAGTGTGTGTGTGTGTGTGTGTTTATGTGCGTCAGGTGAAGGTGTGTATGGAGGCAGGTCCGGGCAGCTGGGTGGGGTCATGACGAGGATTCACTGGGTGAGAAGAGAAAGAAAGAGAGAGAGAGAGAGAGATAAAGGAAAATCACAGACAGAGAAACAGTGTGAGAGAGAAAGTGTGAATCAAAGTGTGTTTGATATGAAGACGGAGCGATGCAGAGACCCAGCAGCTGTCATGTGAGTCTGTGTGTGTGTGTGTGTGTGTGTGTGTGTGTGTGTGTGTGTGTGTGTGTGTCTGTCGTGGTGCAGGTGGTTGTGTTGACTCTGCCTCACTTTCTGGAAAATGTTCCAAACTTTTCTGAGCTTCTGTGTTTGGATCAAACTGTGTTCGATCAGTTTGTCGTCTCTCAGGTTTCTGATCAGATCAAACTCGTCCATCTCTCTCTCTCTCTCTCTCTCTCTCCCTCTCTCTCTCTCCCTCAGCCGCTGGAAACTCTATCTGTGTATAGTTTTACAGTGTGTTTGGTTTTATTTGAGATATTTGTTCTCACACGTGGTTTAAAAAACCCTAAATGAGTCATGAACAAAGGATAGAAGATACATTTAATTGACTGAGAAATAAAAAGGATTCAAGTTTGAGCTCCTGAAAACCTTTCAACTGATTCAGCTGTTGTGTGTCAGTTGTGTTGTTTTATCGAGTGATGCAATTCAAATAAAGAAGAATGTGTTAGAATTAAACTATAGTAGTGCATCGACCACTTCAGAGGAGGAGTTAAAACTAATATCACTCACTTTACATAACTTATATTATTAAATGTGTTAAAAAAAAAAACACATGCAACAATTCAAAGTATAAAGGCCGAGCGTTGATATAATTAAACTTGGTGTGGTTGTGTGTTAAAGTGTAGTTGTCACTGCTACAGTCTCCAGCTCAGAGGTCAGACAGAAAAACGTGAGACCACAGACGAGCAAAAGAAAAAAAAGAAGAATTCTTTCACACAAACCAAACTTTTATGAACAAATTAATGACTTTAGGTTTTTAGATTTCTGAAAACTCTTGGACTAAAGGAACAGAACCGGTGGGAGATCTTTGAGGGATGCAGTGTGTGGATTTAGTGCAGTTGGATTGATGCATGGCTGCCGGGCCCTGGTGGATGTGTCACTGCACTCTGGTCTGATATTTGATTTAATTTATGGTCTCTTCCTCTGTGGTTCCTCTAGACGAAGACAATATGTTCGTCATTGTTGTGCCTGTAACCTTTGAGCTTCACAACTATTTGTTTAAGAAACTGTTGTGTTTACTGTAAATCTAGAAGCTGTTAAAACGTCAGATCTGCAGGAAAAATCAAACATGTCGTCAAATCCATCGACTGATTAATGCAGGAGCTCACACACTCTTTTATTTTATTTTTTTTATTTTCCCGAATCGCAGTTCTCCAGAGATCAGTTCATCCTGGACTGTCCTTCAGAGAAACTCCGCAGAGAGCTGGAGGAGGAGCTGAAGATGAACTGTGAGGAGCCGAGAAGCCACGCGTGGTACCACGGAGCGATTCCCAGACAGGTAACACACACTAACTAACACACTAACTAACACACACACACACACACA